AGAGTTTTACGTAAAATACACCAATAAAAAATAAATTTATCAACAATATACTCAATACACATTATACTCTAATACATAACATTAATACATAATGATATATTATTTTGTAATATTAAAAAAAAATTAAAAATAAAACAAATTTCCTAATATCAGAGTTTTTTAATATGATGCTTTAATTTTGTAAAATATAGAAAAAAATATTGAAAAATTACTCACAATATTACTTTTCAAAACAAAATTTTGATTTTTTAAATAACTTAAGGTTATTTCATATAGTTTTGTTGGGATATTTTTAAATTGAGTTAATTTTACAGTTTGGTGGGGTTGTGGTAAATTTTCGTATTTAAAAAAAAATGATAATCCTCTAAAAATATAAAGTAATTTTCTATAGAAATAAAAAAATTGAAATTGTTTTAGCATGGATTTAGAAAATAATTTTAAATTTAATATATAATTAAAAAAATTAATAATTAAATTTTACAAAAGAGAAAACAATTATAATTTTTGCTATGATATTTTTTGTAATTAGTTGCATGATAAACAAAGAATAATTTTTATTTAACTGAAAATAGGACGCATTAGTCTTAATATTTCTTTTATATGTTTCATTGCTTTCTCTTATAAGAAACCAACAATAGTCATTCATCATTGCTTCATCCCAAAACCCTTGGTAACGACGTTCTATATTATTTATTCGTTAATGAAAACGTTCACCATGCTCATCGCTTTCATTTCCAAGATATTCAGGAAAAAATTCTAAGTGTGCATGAAGAAAATGTATTTTCAATGACATGTTTAACCCTATTTCCGATAAAATTAAAAAATGTATCTCTTATTCAGAAAATAATAAAATTATAAAATGTACTGTTTACCTATTTTTATATAGTTTATCAATAAATCATTTAGTATTTCTCTATAATTTAAACTTTTGAAGTTCCCTAAAAAATAATTTACAACCAAACAAAACGAGTACCATACTAAAGCCTCGTCTTTTGATAAAGTTAACACAAAATTGGAGTCGTTAATTAGTTATTTTATTTATGGCCCTATGAAAATACCTTCTTTGATTTTTGCATCAGACAAATGTGGAAACACAGTTTTCAAATAAGTAAATGAATTTCCATTTTCATTTAAAGCTTTAACAAAATTTTTAAAATGTACAAGTTTATTATGTAAAGGTGGTAGGATTATTCTATTTTTATTAGTCAGAGGATTGAAACATCAATTCTTTTTTAAATACAAAAATTTACCACAACCCCACCAAACTGTAAAATAATATATCATTTTCTTTGTTATATATTAGAGTATAATGTGTATTGAGTATATTGTTGATAAATTTATTTTTTATTGGTGTATTTTACGTAAAACTCTGAATTTTTTTTTGACATATTGAAAAAAATGATAAAAATTCAGTGGTAAATTCGTAGATAGCAAACAAGAAAAAATTCAGATAAAAAAATTGTTTAAGATAAAAGTTATAGGTAATTTAATATTGTTTAATTTTATGTAAAAAAAAATGAAAATCGGTTCAATGCATTTAAAGATATTTAGAATATAATGAAAACACTTTTTTGCGGCACACGAAAAACGCTAATTTCGTAATAACTTAAAAACTGTTCTACTTCTTGTATTTTGGACTTCATTTTCGGATTCAGTGGATGATTTTACATAAAAAATGACTATTATAAGTCATGGGTCAGAAATTTTTTTTTTATTTGTAAACTAGTGTAATCATTTAAATATTTTACAACAAGTATTAAATATATCCAAAAGTAATTAAATGTCAGACTATTAATTTGAATTCTAAACATTTGCATTGAACCATTTATTGATATTGATTAAAATCACTATAACATCTTTACTGGTGCACAGTGTTGGATGTTAATTTACAAATGACATATCTTAATACATTAAATTCTTATACTACAATGTTTGTTTTAGGTAAAGTATTTGAAACAGGTGCACAGATAGTGAGAAGATAATATTTTAAGTTATAATAAATCAAGCATAAAGAAAAAAAGTATTTATTCACTTATAAGCAACCAGTTTTACATAACTGAGTGCAATGACATAAAAAAATGGTTTGGTTAAGCAATATTAAGTTGTACCATATAGTACTTGGCTAGTATGGCTTGTCATAGTATAGGTTAAAGTGTTATTTGTTAATTTATTAATTTTTACTCAGATGGTATTCATATTTATTGTATAAATTTATAATTAGAATTTTGATAACGTGTGTTAATACAATGTGGATATTTGATACATTGTAAATACGGAATATAAAAGTTAAAATATTAACTACTCTTGAAGACTCAATTAAAAAAAAATTATGTTATCCTATTTTCTATGGAATAGTTATATTTTCACAATATATTCTCTATTTGATAACACTAACAGTTAACAAATATTAATATCTATGTATGTATAATAAATATGTATTATTCTTAGTTGGGTATACACATTCCTTTATAACATCTTCATGTAAACTTTTTTATAATATCTAACATCATTTATTACTCATATATAATTATTTATAATATGTAACTTCCACGATCTTGTATATATTAAAAAGTGGTACCTTTTTGCATTTTATTTTTCCTTCTTGTATGTTTTTTTGTACAATTGTGAACAAAAATTTAACTAGTAGACTATAACAATGTTTTATTTGTATTATGTGTATGTACAATAAAAAATAATTAAAATAAATTGATTGTAATTTGCTTTTTTTCTGTTTATTTTATGTAAATGCTCTGGATTAAAATTCAAATTTATAAATCCTTTAAATATTTGTAGACAACTGAAAAATCTTTATCGCCCAATCCTTTTGATGACAAAGCATTATACATCTCTACTGTCTTGTCAGTTAATGGTATTGGTACATGTGAATTATTTGCTAGAGTTTTTCCTAGGTTCATGTCTTTTAATAGTAAATCAGCTTTAAACCCATTCTGGAAAAAAAATCATTAATTTCTAGTTTTGTTAGTAATTATCGTGTAATGTACTTTATATTCATTGTTGCTTGGGCAATTATTTTCGAGAGCTCCTGGTACAGGATTGTTTACTTCAGATGCCCAACATCTACCTGAGCTAGTATTGATCACTGATGCAAAAAGCTTAGGGTCTAGTCCCAATCTAAAAGTGTTAAACTTATTATACCTTTTCTAGTTTTATTATTTTAACCATGTTATTTTACAATAAAGCTTATAACTTTTGAAGAAAAATTACTTTATGCCTAAATTCATGGCTTCAGCCACAGCTACAGTAGACATTCCTAGAATCATATTGTTACATATTTTGGCAATTAGACCTGATCCATGATTTCCACAATAAATAGTTCTTGAACCCATAGCATTAAATAAACATTGATGGGCTACAAGAGTATCTTTATCTCCGCCAACCATAAAGGTAAGTGTGCCATTAACAGCACCAACTACTCCTATAATATAAATTTTTAAAGTTTTTAATTTAAGTTCAGAAAAATACTCCTTATTTACCTCCTGAAACAGGAGCTCCTAAAAACTTGCATCCTTTACTCTCAACCATTTCTGCTACTTTTTTAGATGTGTCCGGACTGATTGTACTGCAGTCAATAAAAACTTGATTTTTTTTTGGTGATCTACAAACATAGTTTTAAATTATTTACAGTTATTTTTATAAGCTAATTTTGTACTTATACTGACTGTCCTATTGATATTTTAATTTATAGCTTACTCAAGTAAAACAGAATATGCTGAAAGGACATGAGTACATTCAGGTAACATTGTGACTACTGCTTCAGTATTAGCAACCACTTCTTGAAGAGTATTCCCAGTTTGGGCTGATCCATGTGATTCTTGTCGAAATATTTCCATTCTATTGGCACTTATATCATAACCAAATAATTGATAGCCCTAAAAATTCCTTGTGTTCATTTTTCATGGTCATAATTTTGCAATAGGATATAAGATTTTTTTTTTACAAAGTGAAATATAGTGGTAGAATTGGCCATAAAAAGTAGAAGTTGATAAAAAAAATTATGAAGATGGTTGTCAGAATGATAGATCTTTTGAATTTATTTTTAATTTAAAAATAATGATAATTTTTTTTTTATTCTAAAATTGAAAACCTTTTTTTAATTTAAAATTAATGTAAGATGTTCTTTAAAATGTATACCAAAAAATAAATTAATGTATAATATGCCAATATGAGCTGAATAAACTAACAGACTATTTTAATGCCAAACAAAAAAGTTTATTTTTACATAGGTTTGTATTATATAAATATAAAATTTAATACATTTTTCAATAAGTTTTTGGCCATTGGAATACCCATATTTCCTAGACCAATAAATCCGACGACGTTGGATTTCCATCGCTTGTAAATTTCTGCAACATATATTAATTATTCACTTATAATTAAATTATGTAACTAAGTCAAAAAACAAAAAAAATAATTCTATAGAAGTCTAAAAGATACATAAGTATATTGTTTCTCCCTTTCTTAATACGTCTATTGAATAGTCACTAAATTAAAGGGACTGAAACTATTCGCTTTGTTAATGGTTTCAATTTTAAAAACCGGTTTGGGGTACGCAGCTTTGGTTTTAATTAGAAAAATAAAAAAAAAATGGTTTTATTCGGTTATATCATTTTTTTCAGAAAACCAGTTCAGTCCCTGCCAAATTATAAAAACCCTCCCTAGAAAAATGTTAGAAAAGCAGTTTTAATAATTTTTTTAAATTTGTAACATTACACGAAAATCGTAAAAATCGAAAACCCATGCTGGCACAGTACTGATGTAATACTAGTTATGCAAAATTTCTAGTACTGATCTGTTAGTACGGAATCAAACGTTATCATACCAGATATATGGCCCAATACTGGTAGCAGTTACTGTAGTATGTTAAAAAAGAAATCAAAAAGTCTTAATAATGTTGTTTTAAACACGTAAATATTTTTACGGTATTTATTATGTTGAAACACAATATTTTTAGAAAATTAAAACAATTATATTTTGAATATTTTAATAATAAATAATACAAACTGTCAACAAAAATATTTATATATTTATCGATTAACTGTTTAATGTTTTTGACATAAAAACTAAAGGTCTTAAAGACAAAATCGGAAATCCTATCTTTGATAATTGTATCCATAGTTTAAATAAATATAGCTCTAAATATTCTAATAAATCTAGTTCATCAGATGATGAGGTTCTTGTTGTTGTATCGATTAAAGCTGCTTACAAACATCTAAATAAAAATAAAATATTATCTGTTGCTTCAAATACATTATATCGTTCTAAAATATCCATGAAAAATTCTAGTCTCGTTTTATCTACTATTACTTAAAACTTTAAAATTGTTATCACAAGAATTTCATGTTCTCGTGAAAGTATACGGAGACGTTGTATAGAAGATAGTCCTAAATTATTAGAAATAATAAAAGTTGATTTTAATCCTATTAACTATAATACAATATATTGAGCAAATAAAATACTGAAAAATATGGAAAAAGTGATCGGTTAGCAATTTTTGTAACAGGTTGGGTTTAGAACAACTCCTTGCCACAATTGACATAATCGAACGCAAAAGCTCAGCCATTGCGGTTTATGAGTTACTAACCTAATGAAATATTACAAACAATTCTACAGGAATGTGCATAGATAGTACTGCTAGTAATATAATACACAAAGGTGTATATACAATTTTACAAAAACAATAAAGATTAATATAAGTTTACTTTATTATGCCTCTAGACATCATATGCTTAAGTATATAGTAGCAAATTGGTTTGATTCATCATTGAAGTTTCTACAGGACCCGTTATACAATTAATAAAATATCTCAAGACATAAACAAATGAATAAAGAAATAAGTGAGGTAGTAATTAAAATATTTTCAAGATATTCTTGTTACATAAATGAAAAATTGGTTGGATTGTCTTTTTATGATACCTATATAATTATTAAGGATAATGTAATGATGGTTAAAGCACTAAATATTGACAAAATTTACATCATAAATGTATTTTACTAACATCACTATGATGACATATATAGAGTACTCAGTAAGTAAGGAAAAATACTTATTCCTTACTTTTTGAAAAGTGTCATTCATTAAAATTTTTGGATATGAAAATATCGTTCAAGAGATCGTCTGTTATTGTTAATACCTAAAATCTTAATGTAAATAAATCAATTATATTTACGATTAGTGTTGCGATTATAAATTTGAAATTATAATAGCCTGTAACGTTATCATTTTAATGTACATTTATGAACCATTATTGAACTATCTATGACGCAAGTGCATAAGAATATATATTTTATTAATTCAAAACATTTCATAGCTTCTTATTAGTAGTACTTAAATTTAAAATATTAATTAAAACATAAAAAGTTAGTATAATACTAACAACTTTACATGATTGGCTAATTTTCAAACAAAATTTCGAGTGTAGGTGTCCTAAAGAATGTGTACTTTCAGAGTCTTATCCTTTTATATATTTATTTAATTTGTATTAATATGTATAACCCTCCTCCTGTATATCCACCACTATATCATATAAGTATATATATTTTTATTTAAACTATTAATATCTGAATAATTAAAATAAATCTATTAAAATATTATTTTAACTTATATATGATAATCATCAACAATTGTTTTTTTTTTGGTTTAATTTCTTACCTTTAAAAATTCATTTATCGTTTATACTAAGCAAAAATTTTTATTTGATTTCTAAGGTTATAGAATTATTGCTTAACATATAAATAAGACATTTTTTTATTCAATTTTCTATAACACCTATTCTACATTTTAAGAGGGAGAAAATTTAATTTCTTTTGTTTCTATTCAAGCTAATTTGAATATTTGTTTATTTAAATTCAATTTTGTAGATGCAGCGTGTCTTATAAAAATGCAAAAATAATTATAATTTTTATCTATTTAGTTTTAGTTAAGTTAAATTGAATTATATTAAATCAAAAATTAGTAAATTAATAACAATCAGTGTTTTCAACATATTTCTCGGAGGGGAGGTGCTCAGAAGTATCAAATTTACTTGAATACGTATTAAAGGCTCGCCCTACAAATTAAGTAATGTAAAAATATTGGTCTCTGGGTGGGGACCAAACCCCTTGAACCATCATAAATCTGCCATTAATAACAGTTAGCCAAAATTGTGGAAAAATTCAAATGATTGTATTTAAGTTCTTGCAAAAAAAAAAAATTTTTAATAAAAACCTAATAATAATAATAGTTTACATCATATTGGCGAGTTAATTTTAAAGATAACTTTATAAACATTTTTCGCAGTTAATACAAAATATGATACAGGTACGAATACAATGAGGAGTTCATAAGACATAAGCCATTGTTTCTTCACATAAGAAAAAAGGTTTTCTTTTAAAAAAAATAGCTCTTAAGCAGAAATAGTGAAATAGCCCACCTCCCCAAAAAAAATTTCTTCTGAATCGCTATCCATAATGTATAACTTATGATCACAAAAAAATGTATCATAATAAAATTCAAATATTACAAATATACATATTAAATCAATATTGACTATTTAACCACAAACATGGATTCATATATATATGTGTTACAGAATTATAATTATTAGCAAAAGTTTATTACTAACAATTTAAAACTATTAATGTTCATTAACTTTAATTGAGCAAATCAGAATACTTAACACTTGTAGGGGTTAAATCACACCCCTCAAATGTTTATTAAAATTATTGGTTTTCAGAGTTTTATGGACTTTTTTACTCGCTAACATGATTTAGTCGGCATTTGATCACATCTAGTACAATTTACTCTACACCCCCTTAAAAATCATCTCTAGGATCACCCCAGAACAATTGATATATTGATCATGTTTAGAAGTACATAAAGAAATTTTATTATTAAATAAAAACAATTAAAATATAATTATAAAATTTACAATCACTCGTTTGAAATATAGGTAATTAAGAAAAATAGGATGATAAATACAAAACTAATATTTTAATTCGATACATTTTTGAAATCATTTTACTTTAAAAAAAGGGTGCCTTTTTCAGTAGAGTTCGTTTTCTTCAATTTATTATAAGGTTAAATTTATCATTTTACCAATATTACATTACTGATGTTTTCTTCACGATTTCTATTAAGCTCACATTGATAAAATAACGCTATGAGATAAAAATAAACCGTATCATTCATTTACTTACTACTGGACGCGGTTTGTTGGTGATATAACAGTAAACAGCGAACAGCCGAATTTCTCGTTCCGGAAAGCACCTTCATCTTTGTTGACGAAAGACGTTACTGACTTACTAATCTTTCATGTAATTAGAACTATAATAAATCGGTGGGAGACAATTCATGTAGCATTACCAATCAGTGTACTATATGCATGCAACAGTTAAATCGAATAGTTCTCTTTGAGTTGTTAACGGTCGCTTATCAATAAATATTAATAATTACTCTGTAACACAGATATAGGCGTAACTGTTCAGAATTTTGGGATTGCTAAATTAATTTACGGTCCATGAAGAATATTTTGAAACTGTTATAATTACTTTCAATTATTATCAATTAGCTATACATTTTTTCGAAAAAATACTAATTTTGTCACATTAATGGTAAAAGTTATAAATATTTTAATATTTCGACTGTTGAAATTATTATAAAATCTACACATAAGTTAAACAAATTTTCACTAATGTAATAAATCAAAAATAAAATAAAGTATAAAAATGATAAAATAGATTAATATATAAATAACAATAGAGTAATACAAAAATACAATGGAATGGTGTGAATAATAATAAATATTAGAGTGATATCAAAGGTTAAACAATATTGGATAAATGATGTTAAATATCCCTGTCAAATTTAATAATTTATCTTAATGACTTATTACGGAAGAAGTTTTTTAGTAGTTATAAAACATAAATAAATTTTTTTTATTATTATAAAATTTAAATTATATTGAGAAAGGGCCGACCTCAAGTAGTTGGGATAAAGGCGGAGAAAACGAAAAAAGATATTATATTTATTAAAAATAGGCTTCGTCTGGTCTGGCCAAAACAATGTTCAAAAATATTTATATCTATGTAAAATTTTTAATAAAGCGGTATTTTGTTGGCTTAATGTATCCTGGCGCTGCGCCTTGAAAGGATACGGAACAATAATAACCTAGAAAAAATTAAACAGTAAAAAATATTTCTATATGTTTCTTTATGTTGTCTGCCGACTCGATATTTGTTAGAAGGAATTCATTAGCAACGGGACTAGATACCCAAAAAGAAAAACTCACAATGGATATTTACAATTATAGGTATATTTAAAGTTGGGTTAAGATTATTGCAAAACTTATACAATGATTCTAAAAAAAATTTTGATGTTTAAAATATCAATTGAAATTTATTTCAATGAAAAAATAATAAAATTTTATTATGAAAAGATATACAAATATTTAAATTAAAAAATTCACATTACAATCCCTATGTGTTATGTATTTTGAAAAATATTTCAAGTTGAATTTAATTTGATAAATATTTTACCTCCAAAAAATTAAAAAATAATAAATTAAGTGTTTTTAAATTACTAATAGAACTAGTTATAATAGAAAATATGGCTTTTAATGTCAAAATAGGGAAGCTTAATGATCTTTAGCAAGATTTTGGAAGCTAAAAATTTGTATTATTATTGGTTAACTACAATAAGANTAGGGAAGCTTAATGATCTTTAGCAAGATTTTGGAAGCTAAAAATTTGTATTATTATTGGTTAACTACAATAAGATCATTGTGCGTTGGCGTTTCTGAAAAATCTGTACAATAAGATTAGATCAATACCGAACCATTAAAAATGTATTCACAAGTATAATAATAATAATTAAATGTAATTCCAAAATTAAATTTATAGAAATGAACAAGAAATTGGTAAAGTTTTAGTCAAATGGATTTCATCGGGTACACTCTTTCAAAACAATAGAAACCCGTTTCTTTAATTACTGATTAATATATAAATTATTCAATAATTTACATTTTAGTAAAAATAACAGTCAGTAAATTAGATGTAATATGGGAAATAATAGAGTTCAACATATTACACTAAAAAAGTATATAAACAAACCAAAAATTCTCTTACTTTTATTGAATTCAGTTCAAAATATATCCATATAACATAATTAAATTACACTATATAAGAAAAATTAATTTCAAGTATACTTGTAATTTAGAAAATTATTTCTTTATTAAAAAATAAATTTATACCAAAAATAGTATACATAACATATATGAATAATTACTCTATAAAAACTGTTCCTTTTCCTTTAAAAAGTGCTGACTTGTGAGAATAAATAATTACTAATTAGTGACAAGATTTCAAATAGATCTTCAAATTGTTATTAGTAACATATTTAATATAAAAAAGAGCCAATACATATTCATTCTTGAAAAACATAAGTTCATTTATCTCTCGGAAACGGATATTCTGGATGATTTTGAATGCTAAAAAATTAATTTTATTAACAAAAATTATTTTATTATACAATCATTAAAATGAGTTTAGAAATTTATCTTATCTAAGCCACTACTTTTTCCGCGTTGAGTGAATTTTATTAAATAAAATTTACAAGGCTGGATATAACATATTTTTTAACTTGTTATGTAATTTCGAATATAGAAAGATGAGTGAAAAGATAAATTGTATATATAGTCTTGAAAAAACTTGTTTTTCCTGACTACTTGTTTTCTATATATAAAAAACCTCCGAATTTGATCAAATAAATTATTTTGATACAAAATATTATCGTTTTTCGTATTTTCATAAATTTCAATATAATTTTTTTAGCTTCGATGCGAAGCAAAAATTGTATTAATTTTACTTTGATGAGTTTTGTTAATTTATTAACTTCCATGTGAAGCTAAGAAATTTTTCAAAATGCATATAGAAAGTAGAATTTTATCAACTTAACTTTTGAAAATGTTTCAGAAATACTGACATTT